TAGTTTTGCTATCACAAAAACAGGTATAGTCGAGTTTTGATTTTAAGTTTATAAAAGTTTATAAGTAATTTTTGACACTGTTGAAAGTACCTATTTATTGTTTACCCACAGAAACTACTTGATTAGTGTACTCTAAGTGTATATTCTTGAATCATGGACAGTTGGTAGATTAGTAGAAAAATATTTGGAAGCTACGAAGTTGGAGTTTTATAAATGATAGCTGAGAATACCTGGGACAGAGAACAAGAGTAATGAAGATGTCTTGAAAGAAACTGACTTATGGAGAGAACTGATTGCCCTCATCAGAATGAGACAATCTGCATCCTTTTGTCATGTCATTAGAAGGATACGACTGGAGTACGTGGTAACAGTAGGAAAGTCGAAGCGAAGAGAGGCAGAGGAAGACCGAGCGAAAAGATGTTGGACAATTCGACATCATGGTATGGAAGAACGTCTGTATTAGAGTCTGTTGAAAATAGACGAGACCTTGTCAGAGACCTTATGTCTGCCATAACGGCACATGGCTCATGTTGTAGGCTCATGGTAGATTAACTGTCCTAAACACACTAAACCAAAACACCTACAGAGCACACAACAATCGTTAATGTACAGGACAATATAACACACGGTAGTTCACCTCAGAAGTCATGGTCACCCCTATCAGAAACAGAAGCAGTGACACAAGTTAAATGGAACACATTAAGATATAATAACACACTCGGTCTCATTGTTACTGTCATTCTGTCGTCAAGACGCAGTACAACCCTATCATATACATTCATTTCCATTCCTATATTAGCAATGTATAACAATAATGACATATATATATATATATATATATATATATATATATATATATATATATATATATATATATATATATATATATATATATATATATATATATATATATATATATATATATATATATATATATATATATATATATATATATAACAACTAACAATAACGCACTTTGAAACAATGATGAAAACTGACAACACGTCGGATTCTAATATGGAAGGACAAAAAAAAATTATCTGTCAGAAACGTGCCATGGTATAGTACTAACACAGGTGCATATCATCACTCAATATCGTCATCAATATTTAAGGGAAAATCCCAATAGTGATACCATTAATTAGGATTTATAAATCTTGATAACGTTGTAAGACTTTAAGAGACTCTCTGAATGGCAATATCATGAAAGAGGAAACACTATGAATCATGCCAGAACTATAAATACTCACAATACTATGGAAAAAGTACTCATTTATTTATCAGAACATACAATTAACGACCCCATCTGGGTTCAAACACGGACAAAATCTCCCACTCTAACTGTCAGACAATACCGAACACAGCTGGATTCAAACATGGACAAGCCCGATCATAAGTGGAAGTTCTAGCAAGCTTCAGAGGGTTTGCCCTATTACTGTCCCGTTCTTGGACCAGTGGAAATCAAACAAAATGTCCGCCACTGTCACATGCTAAATAAATGTGTTAGTCTCAACAAAATCTTGAAGCTTGCGCACGCAAACTAAAAACGAATAAAACAGCTGTCAGATGTGCCGACACTAATGGTCCCATAATTTCCGCTCACTACTGTCGCCAACGGTCAATTACGAAAGTTGGCATTGCACCCGTAAAAGTATGCACTATTATGAGGGTAACAGGCCACCCGCAATGTTGGTCCTAACATTGTATATGTTCCCATTGCAGATGATATGAATCACCCTCGCTACAATCATTTAACGTACGAGGAGAAGATTCAAAGTCTGTTGAAGGAGACGTTGCGGCCAGCATCTCCACTCGTCACAAATGTGCAAATTTGTATTGTCTTCTGGGTGTTAGGTAAGACCTAGGCGGGTCAACAATGTGATCATTGTGCTAAGAAGTGTGGTAGTTGTGATTTTCCATGTAATTGTTATGTGGTAGTTGTAGTTTGCAAGAGAATTGTTGTGCGGTAGTTGTAATTTGCTGTGTGATGATTGATGTGATATGTGTGGTAGTTGTGATTTGCAGTGTGATTTGTGCGATAAGAAGTTATTATTTGGGATTTACAATTGGTTGATTGTTGTAATGAGAATCGTGGTTGTTGATTTGCATTGTGATTATTGTGATAAGTATGGTAGTTATGATTTGCAATGTATCTGTTGTAATGAGAAGGGTGATATTGAATGTTGAATGTTGAATCAAGAATCGACATCATAGCACTCTGGACACCCCCATAAGCACTCCGTCCCCATCTGTCTGATTGTATATCCGTCTCGCCCTTCCCTTGAGTGTTGAGCGTCGACCAGATCCCCCGGTATCTCCTCGCAGCGCCATTTTCCGTAGAGCATAATGATCTATTTGCGCTTCCGCACTGTTCACTCGCTCCCAGCTTGTCATACATCAGTTCACCACCAAGTGGTGCAGAACCGGCCAGTTTATCTGCCTGTTCATTTCCCAACACACCAGCTTGACCTGGAGAGAATATCCAAGGGATACTAACAACACGGAAGAAGAAAAAGAAGACTTTTACGAGAGACTTACGGACACCATCAATAATGTTAAAGAGAAAGAGGACATCATAGTAATGGGAGATTTTAATTGTAGGGTAGGTAAAAGAAGATCACCATGGGAGAGATACCTTGGCCCATTCAGCGACACAACCACAGATTGCAATAGAAATGGAGAACACCTGTTAAACTTGTGTGCTGAACAAGATCTCTACATTACCAACACATTCTACCAACATCGCCAAAGTCAGGTTAAAACGTGGTACAAGTGGAACAACTTAGATCAAGCGTCACAAATTGATTTTATACTAGTCAGACAACGGCAGAAGAGGACGGTAAGAGACTCAAAAGCTGTCCCAAATGCAGGACTGGATTCAGACCATCGCCCAGTAGTTATGAACATATGCAACTCAAGTAGAAACAGTCTACATAAACAGAAACGTGAAGAAATCATCAACACTAAGAAATTAGAGGAAGAGAATATCAAACAAGAATTTGAACTAGAAATAACAAAGGCTTTTGCAGATATTGCCAAGGAACCAGTAAGAATTGAAGAAGAATGGGATTATTATAAATCAACCATCACGAAGATATTAAAAGACAAGTGTGGTACCAGAAAGACGGGCAAAGGCAAGAAAAAGGGTACCGCTTGGTGGAATGAAGAAGTCAAAGAAGCAGTGTCAAATAAAAAGAAGATGTTTCAAATATGGTTAAAAGCAAAAGACGAAAAGGATTACATTAGGTACAGACTAACTCGAAGAGACACCAAGAGAACAATAAAGAAATCCAAAGAGGAATCATGGAAAAAGTATGGTGAACACCTAACACAGCTATGTACAGAATCACCAAGAGACTTTTATAAGAGTGTGAAAGCGATGCGATTAAGAGAAGAAAGCTTCAATCCAACATCAGTCATAAACGATAAAAATGGAAAACCATTATTCAGCCAAAAAGAAATTAAAAAAAGATGGGAGGAATGTTTTAAAGAACTTTTGAACCCGTCGGGAGTACATGAAACAGCAGAATTCCATTCAAGGGCTCCAGATCATCTAGAACCACATATCCTGCGGGATGAAGTAGAGAAAGTTATCAAAACAAGTAAAAGACACAAAGCAGCTGGTATTGACGGAATAACAACAGAAGTCATCCAGGCTGGAGGGGACACTATGATCACCTGGCTGGAGAGAATTTTCAATAGAGCATGGGCAGAGAGAAAGGTACCAGTGGATTGGCAAAGATCAGTTTGTAGTACCTATCTGGAAGAAAAAAGGAAACAAGAGAGAATGTGGAACTTATAGAGGAATATCTTTACTAAGTCATGTGGGGAAAATGTATGCAAAGATCTTAGAAGGTAGGATAAGAGCAAAGGTTGAACCTCTACTGAGTAAAGCACAATTCGGTTTCAGGAAAGGGCGAGGTTGCACTGATGCCATATTTGCACTAAGACAAGCCTGTGAAAAGACACTCGAATACGATAAAGAGCTGAACGTGGTCTTTGTAGATCAAAAGAAGGCATTCGACCGTGTAGACAGAGATGTGCTGTGGAGAATTCTTGACGATTACGGAGTGCAGGGTCAATTATTAGACAACATCAGAGCCCTCTATGAAAAAAGTGAAAGTGCAGTAAGAACATCTAGTGGTCTTTCTGAATGGTTCAAAGTCACAACTGGTGTCAGACAAGGATGTGTTCTGTCACCATTACTTTTCATAACATACATGGATAAGATCACTGTAGAAGCAAACCCAGACGTGTATGCTATAAACGAATTACTTTTTGCTGATGATCAAAGCATACTGTATCAAAATGAATATGATCTACAGGAACATCTGACTACTCTCAACAACAGCTGTTTACAACATAGTTCCATAGAAGGCATTCGACCGTGTAGACAGAGATGTGCTGTGGAGAATTCTTGACGATTACGGAGTGCAGGGTCAATTATTAGACAACATCAGAGCCCTCTATGAAAAAAGTGAAAGTGCAGTAAGAACATCTAGTGGTCTTTCTGAATGGTTCAAAGTCACAACTGGTGTCAGACAAGGATGTGTACTGTCACCATTACTTTTCATAACATACATGGATAAGATCACTGTAGAAGCAAACCCAGACGTGTATGCTATAAACGAATTACTTTTTGCTGATGATCAAAGCATACTGTATCAAAATGAATATGATCTACAGGAACATCTGACTACTCTCAACAACAGCTGTTTACAACATAATATGAGAATCAGTACAGAAAAAACAGAAGTTATGAAGATCAGCAGAACACACAGGCCACTGAATATAAATGTTGGAAGTGCCAAAATCAAGCAAACCAAAGAGTTCAAATACTTGGGCAGTATATTTACAGAGGATGGAAGAATGGACAGAGAGATAGAAACAAGAATACAGAAAGCAAATGCTGTCACATACAAACTATCACCTCTGCTTAAACATCCAGATATAACCATGAAGACCAAAAGACAATTGATAAACACCATCTTCATTCCAACACTCTGCTACCAGTGCCAAACATGGACAATCAACAAGACCCATGAAAGAAAAATAGAAGCCTGTGAAATGAAATGTCTAAGAAAAAGCAGCGAATAAGACCAGACTAGACAGGATAAAGAATATAGACATTAGAAACACTGTCAAAACTACGCCATGTTTAGACTACATAGAACATCAAAGAATGAAATGGTTTGGACATCTAACCAGGATGAAAAATGATCAAATAACATCACAAATTTTCAACCAAAGAAGCTCAGGATATAAGGCAAGAGGAAGACCAAGGAAACGGTGGATTGACGGGGTCTCCGAAACCTGCCAAAAGCATGGCCTCAGAACATCAGATGCTGCCCGCCTTGCTTATGACAGGAACTTGCATCTCCCCACAACGCTTAGCGGCATACGTGGAAGGAAAAAGTAAAGTAAGTAAGTACTAACAACACAGGACCTCTGAAGAGATGTTTGCCACTCTGCACGGAGCATAGCTGTCTCCGCCTTTTTCAACATGCTCTGTGAGTTAGTTACGATCTTAGCATGTGTGTACAGCTGATTCTCAAGCCAGCGAAAGGTAGCAGTGACTGCCTCCACCTCCATTCTCAAACTAGACGTTTGGCGCTCACGACCCAAAGTGATTAGAGCCCTGCACAAGTCTGAAACATTTTCGGACACTTTGACCCACTCCTCACCCCGCACACATTTATTAAGCCTGCACACAAGTCTGATTGTGTCTTCAGCTTGCGCCATCCAAGACTCTTTTCAGTATGTGACCCTTAGATCTATCCAGGGCTTCATGCAAGAGGTGCTTCTTGTCTTCGGCTACTCTGAGATATGACTTTACTTGCAGAACTTTGAGTCTGTTTGCAATAGTAGGCGGTGCAAGTATATATTGCATACATACAACCGATGTGTCTCTTGTACATCCTAGAATTACCTACATGGCTTCATTCTGTACGCGTTCAAGATTCATTAGATCACTCTTTGATATGGTAAGCATTTCAAGCCCATAATCTATCACCGACACGATCACATGCTGGATCGTTGTAAACAGCATTCTTTGTTCCAAGTCCATTGCTACCATAGTCTTGAGAGCATTAAGTAAGGGTGATATTGTGATCATCAAAAGGATATGTGTTGTAGATGTCGTCAGCACTTAGATGGTTACAAAAAAAAAAAAAAAAAACATTTCAGTGTCGAGAAGAATGGTACTTGTAATTAGATGCGTGTTAGTTTAATAATTCGCTCACCGGCAGGCCTGAAAGCTTGATTCTACAGACGAATAGTCAGAACCTCCTGGACTGATAAAAAGAGTAAAGAAGATGTCTTGGGAGGGGGGGGGGCTGACTCACGAAGATCTCTGACTGCCCACATCAGAAGAGACAGTCTACATTTTTTTAGGTTATGACATGAATAGAAGAAAACTGCAGTACATGGTGACGCTGTGCAAAATTAAAGAGAAAGGGAGGCAAAAGTCGACCAAGAGAGACGATGCTGGAAAGCTGGCCATCATGGCATGGGAGATGATCTGGATCAGAAATGAGGGAGAGGAGACGGTAAATTCCCTCCCTCCCCCTTTCCCCACATAATGGGGCCAGACCGGAGAAACATCATGAAAATAATAATTGTCTTTATTTCGCTGTTTTAAACAACTGACTACCATTGTGTTTTTGTCTGGCCTGCTGTAGGTTTGTTGTGGATTGAATGCAAGCAGATCTACAGTTCGGGTGCCAGGTCTTACATTATGGACTATTACAACGCCATGGATTTTGCTGTTCTCTCTATGTATCTCTCCTCGTACGTTCTCAGGTTTTTCACAGAAATTAAAGTCAGAGAAGCCAACAGGTGAGTCGGCGATGAGAGCTGGTTTCTGTCACTTATGTAAATTGTAATATATGTAAAGATTTTTTTTTAAAAATCATACTGCATGGAAAGGTCGAGGGTAAGAGAGCAGGAGGTAGACAACGATACGAATGGGAGGACAACATCAACATATGGACAAACAGCAGTCTTCTGAAAGGGTGTAAACAAGGAGAGAGACAGAGCATGTTAAAGATCTATTGCAGCCAACCTTCATTATGGAGACAGCACCATATTGATTTGTATAGAAAGATGCATTCAGTCGTAGACAGTTGATTTGACTGCTGGTTTCGAGATTAATAAATGACAAGCTGACATTGGTTGGGGTGAGTTAAGTAGAGATCCAGTTTGCACGTCTTTATGTATATTGAGCACATAGGGCTAGATCTATATTTTATTTACTATTCGGTACTCGGTGGATGATGTTGTCAATATCACGCCGGTCGCCTTTACTTCCCTTCACTATACCTGGTACCCATTCAAGGGTATGTTGACCTGGAAGGCAAGGTCATTTTTGCAAAAACTGTTCGGCTCAATTAGGACCCGAACCCACAGGGGAGCGTCTAGCCACTACACAATGGCGGCTTCTGACATTGTTTGAAAGCTAACGAAAATAAGGCCCAGTCATTTTGTGTGGACCCGGCTCTCTAGCGTAGTTGGCTAAACCGGATTTCGCGGTGAGCGGGTGACGAACTCTTGTGGTCCGGGTTCACTCACCGGGAGTAGGCAGAAAAGCCACATTATATCCCAGATTTACGGTATTTACAATGGAATCAAGGCCGAAAGGTTGCGATATCCATAAAACAGAGCCTAAGAGTTAACAACTCATGGCTTCTGGATACTGAAACAAACAAACAAACAAACATTTGTGTGTGGAAATCAAGGGGAGACTACCACATTATATATTATACAGAAACTCTAACCGAAGCCGAAAACAAGACAGAGGCCGACCTCTACGAAGAGGAATTCGTGACACCGAACAGCTAATTAGTTTGTTAGTCGATAGATTATCCTCATTGGACATTAAACCTTTCAGTACATAAGTGCTCGGATTCTTTCCTTAGTAAATCCCACGGCGTGTAGCGGCTCAGGACACCAGTTCTGTCTTTATTTCTTATTCTTCTTTGGCTTTCTGCATACTGCTCTTGTCTGGCTATACACCTTTTAATATGTTGTTCTTGCATTCTGGTCATGGTTGCAGATTCACAGTCATCACTTGGTTCTCGCAAATGTCTTACTTCTTGTAGAGTATTCATAATATCGGCATGATCCATAGCATTGGCTGTGATAGAACATGGCAGCCTTTTACAAAGTGAAGAATATATTATGCAATCTTTCTTTGTCAATCGAGACGAGAAAGAGAATTCTTAAATACTATATAAATCCTATCTTGATATATGGAAGTGAATCATGGACAGTTGGTAGATAAGTGAAACATTTTTTGGGAAGCTGCGGAGATGTGGTTTTATAGACAGGTGATGAGAATACCCTGGACAGATAAAAAGAGTAATGAGGATGTCTTGTAAGAAACTGATTCATGAAGAGAATTGACTGTCTACATCAGAAAGGGAATCTGTATTCTTTGTTCATGTCAGGAGAAGGAGAAAACTTGAGTGCATCTTGACAGTGGGAGAGTTGGAGGGGAGGGGAGGCGACTAGGAGAACAGATGCTGGACAGTTTGATATCATGGCATGGACGCTCATCTGTATCAGAGTTGATTAAAAGTCCACGAGACATAAGGTTGTGGATATGATAGTCATAATTACCAACGCCACACGGCATGTGATATAGGAAGATGATGATGACTGCACATAGGGCTAGAGAATTAGCAGGAAAAGGGGAAATATTCAGGCGTGTCGTGATGGGAGCGATGTTCTGTAAAGGACCTGCCGACTGATGATAAACGAAAATAAGACCGGGTCTTATAAAAATTGTTGCTCTGAAAGTTATTTTCAAAGAATGTCTTTTTACGTGCACAAAATATGCATTATGTTATAATTTTTTAAAGCTTTAATGTCAATAAAGTAAAGTCATGGACCTTTTCTCACGCTTTTCAGCAGTATTGGGTATATAGGGCTTGACCTATATTTATTAGACCAAACGGCACTTGGTGGGTGATGTGGTCAGCATCACACCGGCAGCCTTTACTTCTTATGACTGTACCTGGTACCCACTCAAGAATGGGTCGACCTGGGAGCCAAGTTCATTTAGAGGAAAATCGTGCCCTCGTCAGGGACCGGCGTGATTTGGAGAAAGAACTAAAGATGTTGACTGAAGAGCAAAGAGCAGTCAGAATTCCTGCGTCCAGTTAGATGTTTCGGCATAAGGCCAGAAGTATAGCTGATTGAAAAGAAGTTTCTGATTTCGAAGGTAGGGAACAACTGGGGCCACATATTGATGAAACGAAATGAACTAAGCACTAGATCAATATATAAAGACAGTAATTCGTCCGCAGACACGGACGAGGTCAAACCAAAGAACTATTATATGTATTAGCAGGTGCTTGATTAATATTATACCCCAGATGACGTCACTGGCAAGTCCAACATTTAAGAGGGTGGTAAGACTGGGTTTCCCGGCTTTGTGATGCTTTTAACGACCCCAAAACATCTAGAACTGATCCTAACTCCAACCCACCAACATCTCACGACAGAGTGCAGCCTAGGTCCCACGACTTCCTGCAGCCTAGGTCCAACGACTGCATGAAGCCTATTTACCACTCCCTGAAATATTAGACTGCCCCATGACCTGTGGATTTCCCGTTTGGGGTAGGATATTAATAAAGCCCCTATTAGCATTCTGATAGAGATAAGTAGTTTACTTAATTCTTTGATGAACAAAACATGAGGTCCATAACTTTATGTAGTCTTTTTTTTTTTAATTTTATTTCCGGTCTTAAAATCAAGATGTATCTGTTGTATCACTTTTCGTTTTATAGATCTTTCAATGGAACTTATAGAGCTAATGCTCTGTTACACCAAAAGAACCGCACATACTTTGATGTCTTTCTTGCTGAAATGAAGGATGCCAGAAACTCACCTAAGAATTACTTCATGGAAGCATGTGAGTTAAAAAATAATGTTGTAAATGTAATTGTAAAATTTATAATTGATTCAAAGCGAAGATGAAAATGAAAAATAAACATTACTTAGGAGAAATAGGAACGTGGATCTTTAGAACTGTGGTCCTTTCTGGTTAAAGGGAAATAAAGTAAAGATCATTTTTCATGCATTAGGGCGCATTAGGCATATGGAAAGAGTACCCATATTTTTACAGACCAATCAGCACTGGGTGGGTAATATTGGTCAGCATTACACCGGCCGTCTTTACTTTCACAGGACATTCATCCTGGTACCCAGTTTAGGAGTCCGCTTTGCATTCGTTTAGACAGTAGTATAGAGAATTAATCTTTCAATGAGCAGTGGCAAACTACTGACTGTAAAACTGCCTGGTTAAATGACGAACTGTAAAAAAAATGTTTGAGCTCAATTCTGCAACGTCCTGTGGAGATGGCATGTCAAACTGGCGTCCGGCCACGCACCAGAGCCCACACTAAGCAAATATTCTGCTACCATTTTAATTAAATATCTCTAATTTAGTTGTCGTGTAAAGCCCTCATGACGAAAAAACGTGACCTTATGACCCTCAGTTCGACATGGCTGCTGTAGAAAAGTCTTGGGAAAACTAAAACAGGCATCCTGTGCGCAGAGTGGCAGGCATCACTTAATAACCAAGATCAAGAGCGTATCAGGGATTCTCTATCCAGGACACTGAGATGTGCGAGGTAACGAGCAAGCTGTAGCTTAGCAGCTGCCGCCCTTCTGGTCAGCGAGCTACTTTATGATACAGCGGATCACGCCCTTCTGGAGTTATTTCTATAAATAGAGTCGGCCGTGCAGCGGAAGTGGCGAAGGCTGTCTAGGATCAAATAGCCAGGGCGATAGAAAAGACGTAGACAGAGAATCGATACTGTGAAATAGTTATTCAGCTTTGAAGTTCAAAGTTTTAACAAAGGATTAACATCATAGTACAGGGGTAGTAACCCCTAATTGCTCCGTTCTTCTTCTAACTCAAGTCTGGGTCCGAAGAAGCTCAGCAGAATGCGCAGTCTCTGTAGCACCGGCGAGGATCCTAAAATACTTTAGGTAGATTTTTAACTCCAAACTTTGCCCGGGCAGCGTCGTTAGGCTACTCTTTTCAATTTCCAACTGCCAGGGGATAATTTACGTGCACAACAATGCACACGGGCGTCCGTTCTCACTATCCAGAGTCCAGAGGAAATACTAGAAGTCCAAGTCCACGTAAAAAAAATATCCCATTTCTTACTAGAGGATTGAACCCGGAACCTCTAGCACTCAAAGTGGACAACATGCCTCGAGACCACGCAACTCCCTCAGTAATTCAGCGAGGGGTAAGTAGAATATATTCGACACTGAGCGGGAAACAGTGGCGGACTTTGAATCGGGTTTCAACTTGTACCATTAAAAGTAAGCAAAGTAAAGGTTCCTTTTCCTCGTCTTTAGACATATTGGCAATCTTGGGTTAGACCTATATTTTTATAGACCAATCGGCACTTGGTGGCTGATATGATCAGCATCATGCAGGGCTCCTTTACTTCTCAGACCTGGTACCTACACAAGGCTGGGTCGACCTGGGAGTTAATGTCATTTTGGAAGAAAGTCCGGCTTCGTCAGAACGCGAACCCACGATCTTCCGATCCGCAGGTGGGCGTCAACGACTCGGCGACTCCCAACTTGTACTGTTAGCATGTCGAATTTTCGTTGGCTACTGAAGATGGGTACGGGGCACGTGTGGGAATGTTTACAGTGCAGTGATGTTGATTCTTGATTTCATTCCTGCACAGTGCGACTCTCGTACAGCGCATGCCAGAACTCTGGTACATAGCAATGATTGCATTGTGAAACTAGTTCACTCATCTCTAAGCCACAGAGCCGAACCTTTTATGTGACCACTAAAATCGTATTCTTGTCTCCCAACAAACAGCCCGCTTTCAATGGGACCAGTATGATCCGGAGATTGTATCGGATGTCTTGTTCGCTATAGCAAACGTGATCAGCTTTGCTCGGACTACCCAGCTGATGCCAGCTTTTGAGGTCCTGGGGCCGCTGCAGATCTCGCTGGGCAGAATGATCGGGGATATCACCAGGTTTATGGTTCTGTTTACTCTTGTAAGATTTGTTTCATATCTTTTCTTTATAGTAATTTTATAGTTAATTTTTATAGCGATTACATCGTTATAGCAACTACAGTGACTGATTCTTAGTTGGCTATGCAGGAGTTTAAAACTGACAAATGTGGCATAAATGGATACCAAGCATCAGTACCTCAACGTTACAAGGGCTCAAACTGATATACTGTCCGGGATATGCATGAGTCCCAGGACATGAAAGAGTGGATTTTCTGTCTACAAAAGTTAAAGGAACACGCAAAGTGGACAAATGAGACATTCTGAAGATCATTTATGAAGGATCACAGCAACCTGCCACCAGCACGTTTATAATACCCTACATGCTGATGACTTTGCAGTTTGAACAGCCTCCGAATACACTACCACAGCCTCATGTCTGTTATAGAAAACTGCGGAAAATGTAGAAGCCTGGACGGAAAAGTGGGGTCTAAAGCTAAATAATTCAAAAAGCACAGCATCACTTTTCTCTCTCTCCCCCAAAAAAGAAAAAATCGAAATTCGGATAAAAGACCAGCTCATTCCACAGACTGACACTCCTACCTTTCGTTACACCTGATTCGCGACTAAATTGGAAGTCACATGTAGAAGCAGTACAGGGGTTAGCATTCAAGAAGCTTGCAGTGATGAAAAAATTAAGGGTACCACACGGCGAGCTAACTCCAGAATCCTAAAACAAGTATATACTGGAGCAGTCAGGCCAGTCATGGAATATGCCTCAACTGCATGGGCTGCAGCAGCCAAAGCAACAGTGGGAAAACGACAAGGTTCAGAATATGGGATTAAGGATTGTTCTCTGAGCCATGAAATCCACCCCCATGAGAGAGATAGAGAGGATAGCAGATACTGAACCCCTCGAACTCAGAAGACAACACAAAACTCTTTTACAGTATGAGAAATTAAAAAGACTTCAAAGTCACCCACTGCATTTTAAATTTCAAGAGAGAACAAAAAACAGACTGAAGCGTCAGAGCCTCAACCACATTGCTAGAGAACTGTACAGACAGCACCAAGATCTGCTTGAAAGAGATGTAGCTCTGTGCGAAAAACTTAGGCCAGAACCATGGACAAGCAAGCCAGAGAAGGCAAATGTAGTTCTCAAGGTACCAGGGATCACTTCAAAAGATGCCCAGACGGAGACACAACAGAGAACCATGGCTCTTGCTATGCTTGATGAGAATTATCCAAACACCATTTGGGCTCAGGTTTTCAACGACGGCTCTGCTATAGATGCAGTCAGAAAGGGGGGTTGTGGAATATACATTAAACCCCCTAGCAGTAGAGAAGAAACTCTCTCTCTACCAGCAGGTGACATCTGCACTAACTTCAGAGCTGAGGCAACTGCCCTCCTTTCTGCAGTCCAACAGCTCATCACTCAAGAACACAGAGGGCACAAAATTGTTATACTTGGTGATCCATTGTCTGTTCTCCAAGCACTATCAAGCAAAAAACAAGACAAACTAATTGCAGATCTAAGGACCAACATTAGCTTACTCTCCAAGGAAGCAGAACTGGTCTTGCAGTGGATACAGCCCACTGTGGTATTCAAGGAAATGAGAGAGCAGATGAGTTGGCAAAAGCTGGGAGTAATCTTTCACAACCTCATCCACCACACAGCTACAAGGAAACCAAAACAGCACTAAAGCAGTCTTTCAAGCGGGAGTGGAGAAAGCAGGATAGAGATTACAGACCAGAAAGTAACAGCATAAACAAACTCAGCAGGAAAGAACAAACATCAATTTTTAGACTTCGGACTGGACACTGTGGTCTTCGAGCACACCTGTACAGGATAGGCATAAAAGAATCTGCTGCCTGTGATTGTGGAACAGAAAGACAGACCCCTGAGCACATACTGCAGTACTGCCCTTACCTCTCCCAGCAAAGACTGGATCTGGCCCAGGGGATCCACATTGCGAGAGAAGCTATGGGGGACCCGTGGCGACCTTAAACGCACAATCCTATTTTTGACCCAGACGGGACTCAGTGTGTAGCATGACTGATGTCGAACGCAGAATTTATGAAGGAATGCTGATAGAAGCCGCAAGGATAGATGAAATAACAGGTGTAAAAATTAGTGTATGAGGAATTAGGTGTGGAATCGGCTAGAAAAAACGGAAGAGAAAGGGGGGGGGGGGGTGTGTGAGTATGAGAGGAAGATAACGACGAGTTTATAATCAGTGGGCTACGAGAACAGTAGGCACCTACACCTCAGCCATTTCCTGCGAGAGACGAAACTCCTATGCATGTAACAAATGTGTCGATTCTTAATTCAGTAAATGTGTATAGTAAGTTTAGTAGGCTTTTAAATACTAAGCAGGAGAGGATAACAGGGAGAGGGGTGTTTGCGTGTGTGTGTGTGATTGTGTCTGTGTACCTGTGCTTATATGAGTGTGTCAGTGTTTTTGTCTCTGTGTGCTTGTGTGTATGTGCTATTGCGTGTGTGTTTTTTCCTTCCCTGTTTACTTTTAGTGTATTTTGCGTGACCGCTAAATTAATTTGTATTGTCAAATGAGCAGGTCATGTTTTAAATATAAAATGCTGTTGCTGCAGAAAAGATCAATGTTTGGCAGGGTCAAATAAAAGACCAGCCAGTGTGTCCACATTTTTGAATTTTTGAAAAAAAATCAACTGCCTGCGCGCGCGCGTGTGTGTGTGTGTGTGTGTGTGTGTGTGTGTGTATGTACAAGATCTGACAATTGAGTAAAGTAATGAGACTGACTTTATTACAGCCAAGACATATGTGCCATCTATGAAGCAAAGCATGGAATCCAAAGAGGCAAGCTTCATCTATGATCTGGCAAAGAACGGATTCAAGAAGATCGTTTTTTTTTTTTTTTACTGTCAAGATGATGGCCAATGAATCTTGTGTTAACAGAGAGAGAGACCCTTTAAAAATTAAGTGCAAGATTTTGGCCAGAAAAAAAAAAATGTTTGCAGGTTTGTACCGTCTGTTGGCCAAAAACATCAGCGGGTTGAGTATACCCGCGAGACATCATCAAAACAGGAATGTTTGGCCCCAAAACAAGTGTGTGTTCTCAACCTTCCACCCTATTCCCCAGATTTCTCTCCATGTGATTATTTTCTATTCCCAAAATTAAAGTTACCATTGAAAGGACGCTTCTTTAACGATATTGATGGCATCCAAAGGGCCGTAACATCGACTTTAAAGGCCATAGCAACAAAAGAATGACAGTGGTCGGTCCAATGTTTGTTAGATCGTGTTACTCACTGTATCAATTCACAAGGGGCTTACTTTGAATAAAATACCAGTTACATCTTCAATTGTTGCTTTTTAAAATTTTTATGGAATTAATCTCATTACTTACTTGTCAGACCTTGTATATATCACACACTTGAGCACCAGGTACCTAATTTATTAGGACTCAAAGAGCTTACGCAAAAACCGCCCGGATTAGAGTAAATTCTCAAGGATAGGTTCAAGAAATAATTGTTTCATTGAAGCTACATGGTATGACTTTTCAGGTTCTGTTTGCCTTCATGGTGGGACTCCACAACTTGTACTGGTACTATGGAGCCCAGAAGATCAAAATGGTGGTCAACGGGCAGTTAGTGGCAGTAAATGCAGCTAAAGCTTTTGAAGGGTAAGTTCGGAAGTTCGGAGGGTGAAGATAACCCTTGATCTGATTTTTTTTTCCATAGCATGTGAGTGTGTTATGGGGCAGTGGTTCTCAAATTTTTTTCGCCGCTGCACCCTTGTCGTGCTAAAAATATTTCGCTGCATATCTACTCTTAAAACGGTTTGAATGCTTAGGAAGAGAGGGAAAAGCAGTGCACATTTAATATTCAGTTGTCTTTAGTGCGATGAATGAAACTAGATGCACTTTTCATTATGCTCTTTATGTGTGTTGGAAGTTTGGTTAATTTCACCCTGAAGTCACGTGACGCAGAAAGTTGGCTCCTGTATTCGTTTTTTTTTTTTTAATGTAAGCGTACGTTGAGAATGCACTGCAGCCGTGCCAATAGCATTGTCTTCTCAATACACCTGCATTCAGAACTCTTCTTGGCTTCCTTCACAGTATTTCTGTTTTAAACTGCTGCCTTCGTTGATCTCAAGCAGATTTGGAAAAAATCTTTATTATTGCCACGGCACCCCTGACATACGCTCGCGGCACCCCAGGGTGCCTCTGCACCCAGTTTGAGAACCTCTGTTATAGGGAATCCCAATATATATCCATTCTTCAAACAGCATATCCCAAACTCAAGTACTTTCTTGTTCGTAACTTGCCGTGTTTGCTATAAGGAGACATGAGAATCACAAGCCGTGGTGATATGGGGGCCGGGTTGAAGTTCCTTCTTTCCATAGCACAAAGTTTGGGCAGCATTATAGAAAACACTTGTCGATCATATAGCAAGATCCCTTTGTGGCCAGAAAATATGGGTCCCGTAGAAGACAGGAGGATAGGTCTCCACTGGAGGGCGATACAGCGAAGCTTGAGGAGAATATTTGGAGGGTGCATCCAGACATCTTTCGTAGATACTAGATTGTATTATTTCTAACCACAATAAAACATAGTAATTTAATAACACTATATTAAATGTCCTCTATGTTTAAAATACTTTTATCTTCAAAGTGAAGCATGTAATCCGGGTTCAGATAATGCTTGAACGGTTTCCGACTGAATGTATAGGAGGCTAGTAAAAGTAAAGTAAAGATGTCTTTTTTAAGCTTAGAGCATATGGGACGAGCACCCATATTTTACAAACCCAGACTAGATGGGTTATGTGGTGAGCATTACGCCGGCCGTCTTTACTTCCCCAGGACATACATCCTGGTACCCATTTTAGTCTGAGTCGACATGCGACCTCCCATACCATGATAAAAATCCACGCAGCCAGCAGATAGCTTCGATCGCGGTATGTTGGAATTAGAGGCGGCTATTGGGTTTTTTACTATTTGATGTGGAAGATGGTTCAACATTTTGGTTGAGGAGTAGCCTAAACTGATTATTTGTGCAGCTGATTTTCTGTGTTAATGATTTCAATTTTGCCGTGGCAGGTTACAACAGACCTTCTTTAGCCTGTTCTGGTCTATGTTTGGACAAGTCAGCATCAACGACATCACCATTAACCATCCCAAACGAGACGGGGGTGAGCACTATCACAAACGTTAACTTCTTCAGTTGTTCATTCACCTCTCTTACTTACTTTTTTTTTATTTGTGTGTATATTACTAATTATATATATATATAATCTTCTTTATTTCTTCTTCTTCTTCTTCTTCTTCTTCTTCTTCTTCTTCTTCTTCTTCTTCTTCTTCTTCTTCTTCTTCTTCTTCTTCTTCTTCTTCTTCTTCTTCTTCTTCTTCTTCTTCTTCTTCTTCTTCTTCTTCTTCTTTTCTTCTTCTTCTTCTTCTTCTTCTTCTTCTTCTTCTTCTTCTTCTTCTTCTTCTTCTTCTTCTTCTTCTTCTTCTTCTTCTTCTTCTTCTTATTATTATTCATCTTCTTCTTCTTCTTCTTCTTCTTCTTCTTCCAATGTTAAAAGACTAAGTTCTCTTCAAAATCGTGCTTTATGCCTAGTTTCAGATAATAAACATATCGTAAAAAATAATCTGTATAAACATCTAAGACTATTGCCATTTAGCAAACGTTTAATTTTCAACAAGGCCAAATGTATTCATAAAATTTTATCTCAAAATACTCCAAACTACCTTTTCCGATTAATTAAATCAAATCCTATAAATAGCAAGCGACTAAATTTATTACATTTACCTAAACCTAGAATAGATTTATATAAAACAAGTTTAGCGTACTCCGCTGCTCATTTGTGGAACCAAATTCCACTAGACCTGAAAAATTCTAAAAGTCCCTATTCCTTTAACCGTCAACTTTTTCAATTCATACTTACAAGCGATTACATGCCACCTTGAATGTAATGTAACCCATATTGCATTATGAATTTATTATTAAACAAGGTGTGTATGATATGTATGTTTGCGCGCGCGCGTGTGCTTGATATGTATGTATGTGTAGGCGTGTTTGTATAAATATGACTCTGAGTATGTTGTTTGTCTGCTTGTGTATCTGCGTGTGTGTCTGCGAATGTATGCGTCTGTGTCCTTGTGTGTGTGCAAATGTGTGTGTGTTCGCGCGTATGTCCACGTGTATGTTTCAGTGTGAACTGGTTTCTTTTTCTGCATATTTGATGTGACTGTGTATATCTTCATTTGTGTCTGTGTGTGTCCCCGTATGTGTTTGTCTTCATGTTTGCCTGTGTATGTTTATGTGTTTTGTCTGCAGGTGTGTCTATGAGGCTGTATGTATGTATCTCTGTGTGTGGGTGTCTGTAAGTCTGTCTGCGTGACTGTATGTGTCAGCATGTGTCTGTCTGTGCATGTCTATGTGTGTTTCTCTGTGTGTGTTGTGTGTGCCCCTTTGTTGCCTGTATGTGTCTGCATGTCAGAGTATATGTCTGTGCGTGCTGAATATATGTGTCTGCGTGTGTATTTCTATGTGTTTGTATGTATATGCATTTCTGCGTGCTTGTCTTTGTGGGTGTCAATATGTGTTTGTCTGCCTGTTTGTCTGTATTTGTGTGTGTGTGTGTGTGTGTGTGTGTTTGACTGCGTGTGTGTCTATGTGGATTTATGTATGTGTCTGCATGTTTATCTGCGTATGTGTGGTGTGTGTGTGTCAGTGTGTGAGCACGAATGTAAATATGTGTGCTGTGTGTTTCCCTGTGTGTGTTTATATGTAAGTGTCTGTGTGTGTGTCTGTATTTTTGTCTGAGTGTTTGTGTCTCTGTGGGAGTGTCCGTGTGTGCTTGTGTGTGTCTCCATGCATGACTGGATTTATGACTTTATGTGTGTATACCTGTATTACGTATGTATGTATTAATGAATGTATGGATGTATGTTTGTATCTATGTATGTATGTTTGTGTGTACGTATGCCTGTGTGTATGTGTGTATGCATGTTTCTTTATATGTATCTGTGTATGTATGTTATGCATGCATGCATGCATGTTTGTGTCTGTAAGTGAGTGGGTGAGCGTGTGTATGCGGGTGTATGTATGCAAGCGCGGGTTTTTGCATGCACTTTACAACTCATGCTTTTGTGTTCTTTTATAATATTCATATTATGCATAACATCATATGATCATAACATGCTTTATTAGTAAAATGCAACTGCTGTGCGAAAGATGGTTGACTGGAAGGGCCGAATGTAAGACAGGCCTGCGTGCCCAATTTGTGACCCTTTGAAAATAAAGTTCGTTCGTTCGTTCGTTCGTTCGTTCTTCTTCTTCTTCTTCTTCTTCTTCTTCTTCTTTTTCTTTTTCTTCTTCTTCTTCTTCTTCTTCTTTTTCTTCTTCTTCTTCTTCTTCTTCTTCTTCTTTTTCTTCTTCTTCTTCTTCTTCTTCTTCTTCTTCTTCTTCTTCTTCTTCTTCTTCTTCTTCTTCTTCTTCTTCTTCTTCTCTTCTTCTTCTTCTTCTTCTTCTTCCTCTTCTTCTTCTTCTTCTTCTTCTTCTTCTTCTTCTTCTCCTTCTTCTTCTCCTCCTCCTCCTTCTCCTCCCCCTCCTTCTTCTGCTTCTTTTTCATTATTTTCTTCTATTTCTGCTTCATCCTCATCGGCATCTGCTTCTTCTTCTTTATTTCTGCTTTTTCTTTCCTTCTTTCTTTTTTTTTTTTTTTCCTTTCTTTTTTTCTACTGTTACTTCAATAGCCATCAGTGATGCACTGAAGATTCCAATAATCAAATAGTTTATTTGACACTGACATGCACAGTGTAACTCTAACAAATATATCAATCCTTCCCCGCACATTGGTTAACTGTGTTCTTGTTTCAAATGACGCTATCAGTGTCATTAATGTTCGCAAACACTACCTCATTCACGGTCATAAAAGAGCTATCCAGTGGGTCTCCCTTTTAGATTTATATTCTGTGTCATTTGCAGATTTTAGAATTTTGCGGAAAAGAAACTTTGTTTGACAACTAATGGGAAAAAGAGGGGAAAAAGGGGGGGGGGGGGGGATTTTATTTATGTCTAAACAAACGAGTGTTACATGGATGAGATTTATGAATATAGAATGTGGAACCGGGATGGCTAATCTGGCAACAAATACCTGTAGAAGTCCTACGTATGTCTCTTTCTTCTTGGTTTGCTAGGTTTAAACAACGTATCAACATCGTGGATTAAGGCATGCAACCATGAGTGCTCTTTTCTACTTCTAACATAAACCTGAGTCCTGAAGAATCTCAGCGCAGGGCACGAACTCTGTAGCACCGGTGAGGATCCTGAAATACTTAGGGTAGATTTTTTACTCTAAATTTTGCCTGGGCAGCGTTGTTAGGCTACCCTTTTTAATTTCCAACTGCCAAGGGATTTGATTACGTGCGCAACAATGCACACGAGAGTTTGATCTTACTACGCAGAGGCCGGGGGTGGGGGGGGGGGATTACTAGAGATGTACGCGAAAAATTACAGCCTTTACCTGGGCCTGAACCTGGGACCTCCAGCACTAAAGGTAGACAATATGCCTGGAGACCACTCAGCTCGCTCTTTCGTTTTCTTTTATCCTACTGCTTAAGCCATGTAGCGTCGCTGAGTAATCAGATTTTCTTTTAAATCTTAAGGTGTCCAAACACATAGTTATCAAATGAATTGATCTTGGTGTCATTTCTCGAGAAGAACCTGCATTTTTGACTAAGTGGACAATCATTCCTTAATTTCAGCACTTGGAACTGGCCCATCATCTTTATTTTACTCGTAGGATGAAATTTCTCTTATTGCTTCAGCGTCCTATTCTTTATGAAGCTCGAGTAGCTCTTGTCTTGTGAGATCCCTTCTATCATTTTCCTCGCCGTCCACGTCGGAGAAGGAAGGAATATTGTCTTTTCAGACTGATATCAAGCAAAAATTTGGAAGACAAAAAAAAAAAAAAAAACACGGACACTGGGGTTGACAAAAATTTGAGTTCTACTGTAAACTTTTTGTAATCTCATCTTCCTAATTTGGGATATGTGTTCTTTTCTATTCTGCTGCCTACCGTTGATAGCCCGCCATTGTATGACTATGGATGGAGAAAGGAGCAAGCTATATTGTGCTGATGGCCCGTTTACTGATGGAGAGAAAAACGAATCAGGTAAGCAACCAAAGCAGTAACGAGAATCAGGTGAGCAACCAAAGCAGTAACGAGAATCAGGTGAGCAACCAAAGCAGTAACGAGAATCAGGTACGCCCTTAAAGTATTAATAAAGATTAAAAATTCCCATCCCCGTCCCTTCCTCAAGTAGTAAGTAAGTACAGATCCCTTTCCACGCCTTTAGGCGCATCGGGCATTTGGGAAGAGCCCTCAGATATGTATAGACCAATTGACACTAGGTAGGTAATGTTGTCAGCATTACGCCGGCCGTATTTTCTTCCCTAGGTCATACATCCTGGTACCCATTTTAGGCTAGGTCGGCCCATACCATGATAAAATCCACTCAGCCAGCGGTGGGTTTCGATCGCGGTACGTTGGAATCACCAGTCCGACTCGCAAAGCCTAAGCCACGGACGCCGCTCTCAAGTAGTAATGAATGTAATTTAAAATGACACTATCGTCATCATGTAGTATGTTCTTTGCAGATCGTCGCTCTCATCATAACCTATCTGAAAGGAACTCATTCTCCCGCCAGCTCTCCCACTTCGTGAACTTTCCTACCCAAGGTGTTCCTCATATCCTGTGTCAATCTTCGTGTTGGACTGCCCCTACATGTCTTTCCTGGCATGATGCCTTTTTCTAGGAGTTTTCCATCCGCAATAGCGTTTGAGATGACCAAAATATTTCAGTTTCCGAGGCAAGACACTGTGTACCAGCCAATCTTCCTTGATGTTTATATATTTTAGGATGTCATTATTTATGTTCTTTTTATTTCATGGTATTAGGAGAAACTATCTGTAGCATTTAACCTACAAAGCCCATGTTTTCTTCCTGAAATATTGCTAGGTAATCTACCGCTCACATTCACTCACAGGGGGCCCTAAAACGGGCCTTAAATGTGGTCTAACGGCTGAACGGGGTTTCCGTGACCTATCCACGGGTGATCCTCATCCGCATAGTAGCACTTTGTGTCACCGGGTGTTTATCGCTTGTGTGATGTCCTGGTGGGGACAACTTATCTACTTACCTACATACCTTGTCTGCGGACATATTTTCATTTTCGTTAAATTCAAGAGAAGATTTTGATCTTTACAGTGTTTTTTTGGACAGACATGATTAAATTTTCCATTCCCTTTACATTTATCGACAGGAAAACTGTGTCATCTGCATAGCGAAGTTCCGAAATAGGGTTGCCACCAATTAAGAGGGGTTTGCTTCCATAATGAGTTTCTTGGGATATTGATGCGGTAGTTTCCCCTTGCTTTCCACATCCACGTGACTTTAGACAATGTCCTCAGCCTTTAGCAACCTTTAAGATTTCCAGGGTAAGTGAGTGCCTTGCTCTGTGATGTCTGCTAATAGCAGAGGGCACCCCAGAGGTGTCCACCTTTTAGACAGACAGCAGAAACTACAAATATTTACATAAAACTAGTTTATTTTAAAAAATAAATAAATAAATAAAAACATACATAAACAAAAGAATTAATTAATAATTTAATTAATTATTGAGTGAATAAAAGAAATTACAGTCGTGGTTGGGTGATTATGACTGTTTTTGCTCTCTCAAATTCATTTTCAGACTGCATTGTTCCGTCCATAAGTATTGTTTTCTCAGAAATCATCGGGGATCGTAGCTGGAGCTACGGAATTCGTGTAAAATACCATGTTATTGGTGGTCAGCTAGCAGTTATACGGAGAGAGGTCGAGCCAAATGGGATAAAAACCCGGTGCAAGGGGTCAACCTTTTTTCCCCCCTCAAAGTTTTAGTTTGAGAATATTTGCAAGATCCCAAACCTTTTCCTTTCCTCAGACAACACAGCTGCGCCACTGTACACTGCAGACAGCCCCCAGATGGTTAACAGCACGGCTCTTGTGGAGACTGTGGGCATGTATCTGTTTGGCATCTACCACGTGGTCATTATCATCGTCCTTATCAACATGCTGATCGCCATGATGTCCCATTCGTTTGAGGACATCCAGGTCAGTGGGCAAACTCTTTACTTACCATGTTCCCCCGTTGAAAAAAAAAAAGACTGGGTCTTAGATACATTTTTGCTTAACACAATAATGCACTAGGGCTTTTTCTAGAGGGATTATTTTTAATATATACATAAATCCACGTTTATTTATGTATACAATTCTTTATTTATTCAAATACATGCATGTCATCTGCTTCTGGAGCATCGTCATAACTCTCCAAATCCTCAAATCCAGCCTGCATTTCTTGCGACTGTTTCCTAAAGAACCTTTGGCCTTTGTCTCTGATTCTAGCTGACGATCTTAACTCCGGCTTATTTTTGGGACGTGGGGCTTACATTAGAAGCATCCAGAAAATTCATGCTAGGCCTTTTTTGGGTGTCTTATTTTAAAGAAAACATGGTAGCTTTTTTCTTCTACGCGTCTTCTTTTACGATTTCGGATATTGGATCTAAACTTATTGGACAAGGGTGAGAAACTTGGAGACCGCAAGTACATATGGGCCGAGTTAAACATCTCTTTGTAATTGGAATCGAAAAGTGTACGCTGTATAGGCCCGCTACCTGGGCACAATGTACACCCTGTGTAATAAAGATATCTTGACAGAAACTGATTCTTGAAGAAAATTGATTGCCCACATCAGAAGTAGACAATCTACATTCTTTGATCATGCCATGAAAAGGAGAAAACTAAAGTACATGGTAATAGTGGAGAAGCTGGAGGGAAACGAGGTAGAGACGGTCCAAGAGAGAAAATGCGGACCATTTTAACTATAACGTCATAGCATGGAAAATCTGTGTCGGAACTGATCTAAAGTACCGGAGACAGAGGGTTGTTGATATGGACACGACTACCAACGCCACACTGCAAAGGATGAGGCACGGGAAACAAGTGGTTTTGAGAACGGCTGGTACTCGGCTATTAGAAAAGGGAAGGCCGTGCGGCAGGTAACATTTCCTATATTGGCGTACAACAATTCACTTGCATTTGAAATGAGACAAAATTGGCCTTGCTATGCTACTGAAAATCCGCAACTGTTACACAAAGAACTGTTGAATAGTCCTATGGTAATAGTTTGGTGTGTGTCAGAAAAATTTGGAGTCATCCCTCCCGCAACCCCCCCCCCCCCCCTTTTTTTAAACACATTGAAGTTACTGTTACTGTAACATTTGGGCGTTAATTGTGATGGTGAAAACGTCGTTATACCTGAGGAACAAAGATAAGGTCTTGATTGTCAAAATTTGTGGTTTCAGCAAAACGGGTATAAGGCACGCAACGCTAGAACGTCAACGGCTGTTCTTCGCATCCCTGTTTCCCCATCTGTCTTGATTCGAGATCTGGTAACGTTTTATGATCTTCTTGGTCTCCTGACCTGTCCACACGTGATTTCCTTCCATGGAGAGACCACAGGTCACGTGTCCTAAGGGGCAAGCCTCGTACGTTACCTCAACTGAAGGAAGCTATTCGTTAACAGATCCCTGGCCCGTCTCTCTAGCGTAGATGGCTAAACCGGATTGCGCGGTGAGCGGGTGACGAACTCCTTGTGGGCCGGGTTCACTTTCGGGGGTGGGCAGAAAAGCCACATTTCTCCCAGATTTACGATATTTTAAATGGAATCAAGGCCGAAAGGTTGCGATATCCATAATACCGAGCTTAAGGGTTAACATCTCATGGCTTCTGGATACTAAAACAAACAACAAACAAACAACAGATCCCTTAGATCAACAGATTTTCTGGAAACAGTGGAGGCTAATTTACCTGAGCATCTTCCACAACGTATGAACAGAATCGGTCATCACATATCAGATATAATATTCTATTCAGGACTATTACGAAATGCTATAACTTGCATTTGTTATTCTACCAATACATTTTGTTAATTGCAAACTCTATAGATTTTCTGCGTGCTTTTTTTTTTCTTCTTCAAAAAACTAAGCAATGTTTACCTGTTGTCTGACAATGCAGCTGCCCTGGTAAAGCAGGCAGTTGCTTTTGAGTGTTGTTGAGTTTGAACTTCATTTATAAAGGAATCACTGATTTGCTTCATTTATTTAATTGTTACTCTGGCATGCACCTGCCAAGATACTACGAAATATCCAAGGCAATAAATTGTGCAATCTGTTGTTTGTGTCTTGTTTGTTCAAATGTTTTTAAGAAACTTGGTTCCCATGCTCCATCCCATATTATATTATTTGTCACCTGCACACAGACTGACTGTGACGTGGAGTGGAAGTTTGCCCGCACCAAGCTATGGCTGAACTACATGGACGATGGTAGCACGCTGCCTGTACCCTTCAACATGATCCCGACACCAAAATCTGTACTCTACGGCTGGCATGCCATCAAGTTCTTCTTCAACCAAGATAATGTGGTGGAGGAGCAAGGTCGTCATAAAAGACAGACTTTTCTCAAAGTAAGTGAGTGTTTCACATAACAGAGCTCCTCATCATCAGTTTCCCCTTCTGGGTTGTGGGGTGAAGCAACTTCGATCCATTGATTCGATGGTCAGCAATAGATATTGTCATTCCGTGTAAATGTAGAAGCCCTTTAATGTCATCAGTCCATGTTCTCCTAGGGCAGCCTCTTGCTTTCATTTCAGATCTTTTCATGTGTAGCGCCTCCATTGGTAGTTGTTGTTCTGGCTGCGTTTTTGGTATATGACCAAACCATTTGATCTTCTGTTTCTCAATGGATTTTGTGGCATGGTAGAGCAGGCGCATTTCGGAAGTAACCGGCCATGTTCACACGAGTAGGGCATCAAGCAAATGATAGTTATGCAGAATGGTTTTTTTTCACATTCACAGACGTTTTGGGCAAATAATGCTAGACCAAGGGCTAGATTAGGAGTCTTTGATGTCATAAGCACTTAACAGATTTTTGCCCCCCCCCCCTTTTCAAAAGAACCATCTTAACTGCACAATAAACCAGTGAGCAAACCAATATGCTGCTTCTTCTATGACACTGGTCACTTGACACAGATTAACAAGGAGCTGCTGTGCCCGTGGGAGCCAGGAACACATGCCCTGCACACCCCTGTGTGAAGATGGCACTGGTGTCCCCGTGTGTCTATATATAAACAATAGGAAACCATACTTTTAAAGTGGGGACCCTGAAAAGGGCCTTATTTGGGGAACCCAGTGGCAAGCTTATCGGTTTCGATGTGGTGTACAAGGAAGCAGTCAAGGCACAATCAGGGACAGAGCGCTTAACAGCTAGCAAAAACCTAAATCAACCTCAAAAGACATACCTCACACAGACAAAAAAAAAAAAAAGGAAAGGCACAAAAAGGAAAATCGGTAATCAAGGCGACCCCAAACGCCATACAAAATCAGAACGACCAAGAGTCAACTATTACACACGGACTCGATATAGTCACCGCTCAACCAGGAGCAGACTAAAGGAGTCAAGGAGTTTTATTGTTTTTGTTTTCTACAAAGTTCATGTTCAATTACACCAAAATTGTATTTATTAAAATTAAGCAAAGACCGAGTCAGTTCTGAAATAAATATCTGCCTTAGTTCGGATTGGAACCCACTACCTTCGGATCCGCAGGGAGAGTCTAGCCATTACACCATAGCGGTTGCTATTATGGGAAATATATTTTTATATGTATTTACCATTCAGCAAGTTATTACGGTATTTATTATTATTATTATTATTATTATTATTATTATTATTATTATTATTATTATTATTATTATTATTATTATTATTATTATTATTATTATTATTATTATTATAAAGCTCTTTCACAAGATTTTTGTCTCTTGGTTTAACGTTTTTTTAAGAATCGACATTACAGCACTCAGGACATTCCCATTAAGTGCTCCGTCCCCATCTTCAGCAGCAAGCGCAGAGTCGCAATTCCAGTGGTACCAGTAGCAGTCTGATTGTTATCGGCGCATCTTTCCCTGAGTGCTGATCGTCGACCAGATCCCCTGGTCATTCTTCGCAGTGCCATTCTCTTCAGACCATGATGATCCATCTGCCCTTCTGCACTGTTAACTCACCCCTGAAGGACTCTTACAACATCTAGCTTGTCAATTCACCACCACATCTGTGGAAAATATCCAAAGGACGCTAACAACACAGGACCTCTGAAGTGATGTTTGCCACTCTTCACGGAGCATACCAGTCTCCCACCTTTCTCAACACGCTCTGTGAGTCGGTTACAATTACCACGTGTGTATAGATGATTCTCAAGCCAGCGAAAGGCTGCAGTGACTTCCTCCACCTCCATTCTCAAACTTGATGTTGTGGTGTCATATGACAGGCTTTGTTGCACTTAGCGACGTCTATTCCATGAGCTTCGTCTACCACTCAACACAAATCCATCTGTATAGATTATCACATAACCATATGTTATCATTTCATCATTTGTCGAACTTCTGTTTCTGCAGCACACGCTGTCCATTCCCTGCACTCAGTGCCCAGTGTAATCAGAACCCTACACAAGTTTGACTGTTGCTGGGACATTGTAACCCACTCCTGTCCTCGCCCAATGTTATCAAGCCTACACACATGTCTAATTGTGTCTTCGGCTTGCGTCATCCAAGACCTTCCCCTTTTCAGTCCAAGACTTTCCTCTTTTCAGTCCAAGACCTTCCTCGTTTCAGTCTGCGACCCTTAGCTCTGCCTAGGGCTTCGTGCAGGGGGTGATTCTTATCTGTGGAATTTGAAGTTGTGTCTCTTGAAACCACCCAATCCTAGTCGGTTAGAAAATTTGAAAGAATGCTGAGCCGTCGCCACCCCCACCTCGGACCCTCCCCCCTCCCCCCGGGCCCTCCCTCCCCCAGTGTCGGCTACTATGAACATACTAGGCTAATCAGTATTGTTTCATTTCCAAACCTGGAGCTGCCACGGTAGAGAATCCACCTTTATGGACAGTCAGGGCCCTTTTTAAGGAGGAAGTCGGACTAGAAGTTGTCAGACTGGAGAGGTGTTTCATAGGTGCTACATGGTGCAGTCCGTGGCGCCGTAGAAACATCTATCCAGTTGGCATACGTTCATCAACAACAAGACATCACAGTAACTATCCAATTGGCATACGATCAACAACATCAAGACATCACAGTGACTATTCAGTTGGCATACGATCAACAGCAAGACATCACAGTGACTATCCAGCTGGTATATGATCAACAACAAGACATCACAGTGACTATTCAGTTGGCATACGAACAACAACAGCAAGACATCACAGTGACTATTCAGCTGGCATACGAACAACAACAGCAAGACATCACAGTGACTATTCAGCTGGCATACGATCAACAGCAAGACATCGCAGTGACTATTTGGATGGCACACGTTCAACAACAACAAAACATCACAGTGACTATCTGGATGGCACACGTTCAACAACAATAAAACATCACAGTGACTATCCAGCTGTGGTAAATTCATCAACAAGAAAACGTCACAGTGACTATGTAGCTGACATACGTTCAGCAACAAGAAGACGATACCAAAGCTATGAGATCGTCTGTAAAGTCGCTGTTTGATTGTTTTGATTAATTAAATATATTATTTTGCAAGAAAGCTACCGTGGTGTAGCGCCTAGAGGCTCGCCTGCGGATCGGAAGGTCGTGGATTCAGGTCCTGATAGAGCCGGCATTTTTTTTTTAAACTTACCTTGGCTCCGAGGTCTACCCAGCCTTCAATGTAAAGGTAAAGTCCTGAGAAGTAAAGGCGACCACAGTGTTATTGATCGCATCACCCTCTGAGTGCCCATTGATCTATAAAATATAGGTCTAGCCCTATATACACTATAGGCCTGAAGGTGTGAAAGGGTACCCTTCACCTTTTTTCTTTACTTACTATTTTATACAAGGAGCGACTCAATGAGCAAGCTACAGAACATCACGGCCGGGCATATACAGGAACATTGGCTCCATTTGATACAGTGTACAGCACTTCGCAAAATCACCTTCAATTTTGTCCCAGGGTACGTTGGTGTGGAAGGCACTGAGGAGCAGAAGTCCTAGCTAGCAGTACGACTATCAGGAATGGGCCCTTTATGGACAGGAAAGACATCGTCAATGCCATTCATGGACAGGAAAGACATCGTCAATGCCATTCATGGACAGGACAGACATCGTCAATGCCATTCAAAAGATTAAATGCTGTGAGGATTTCAGTTTCGTGGGAAATGATATTAAACAGCATTAAAAGTCTACGGTTAAGCACCAGCAAGGAGATCAAAATTAGAATTTTGAGAGCATGCATCTTGCCTGTGGCAACACACGTATGTGAGTTGTAGACTTTCTCCCAGTCTTTGGGAAAGAGAATATGGGCTTTTAAGACTAATCAACAGTATCCTGTCTCTGAAGCTGAAATATTTTGGTCATATCAAGCGCCACGACGGATTGGAAAAAATAATAGCAAAAGGCATGGTACCAGGAAGGAGAGCAGAAGCCGACCAACATTACGATGGGCACAGGATATAAGTGACTTCCTGAGTATGAAAGTAAATGAGGCGGGAGAGCTGGCGAGAGGCCGAGTTTCTTTTTCGCAGACCGTGATGAGAGCGACGTTCTGCAAAGGTCTTGCTATAGGTGATGATGGGAAATGATATTTAATCGCAAAGACTGCATACCTTTTGTATTCCTATTAGAACAGCAAGATGGGACAAATTAAGCGGAAGCCACCAGTCGTTACATTAGCTAGAACAGAATAGGAGTTGTCAGCCTAAAAGGCAATTGGAGACATAGTCAGGAGGAGATCGAAGAATCTATGGTCATGCCCGATGTGCCATAAAGATGATCTAGAAAAAACAACAACAAAAAAGCTTAATTAACACTTACTTAATCATTGTGTCTGCGTCTATGGCTGAGGCGTTGTGAACGCACTTCATAATTCCAAGATGCCGGGTTCGATCACAGCTGCAGACGATTTGCAGCAGATCGCCTTACCTTGCTTTCGACCCTGGTATAGAGAACCGAAATTGAGAAAGGAGTGGCCAACTACTGAGCATTACACATTGAACACTAAAATCACAAGCAGCCGGGGTTGGTTCTGCAGTGGCATGCAATGGATACGAATCTAATGTTTTTCCCATTGTTGTTAATTATCCAGCTTTCAGCCTTGTGTGATTGTGTTGACTTACGATAATATTTTACAAATCTCACATTTAATATGCTTTTTTAAAATGAATTTTTTGTTGTTGTTTTAAATGTGTATAAATGGTAATGTTCTTAAATTGGTAGTCCATCCGATTCTCTTTGCTTTGATTTCGGTCTCAATTGTGCCATTTGATGCTTTTACATACACACTGTTACAATTTTGATACAACATTCTGTATCCACACGGAATGACAGTAGCCCAAACCAACAAACCTAGTGCAGCAAATTGTTCTGCTCTATGAAGCTTAACGACTGGCTTGAAAGCAGTTGATGAAAAGAAGATTTTAGCATGATTACAGGTGGACAGTTTTCGGGACGTCTAAAAAATTTATATTTTACATTATGAGTTGTGAGTTACGAACTGATAACATAGCATTAGGGACATTCACATAAGCGTTCCGTTCCCATCTTCAGAAGCAAACGCAGAGTTCCAGTTCGGATAGCACCAGTAACAGTTTGATCTTATGCTGTCTGACTCCTTCCTTGAGTATTAAGCGACAGCCAGATCACCTGGTAATTCTTATTGCACATCTCTTCAGACCGTGATGATCTGTGCATGCTTCCGCACCATATACTCGCTCCCAAAAGGCCGTCACAACATCTGGCATGTCTTGCATGTATTTTGCCACCAAGTGGTGCAGACTCAGCCAGTCTATTTGCCTGTTGGCTTCCCAACACACCGGCATGTTCCTGGCCTCTGAAGCGATGCTTGCCACTCGGCACTGTGTACTTATCTCCGCGTTTCTCAACATGTTATATAAGTCAGTTACAATTACGACGTAACGTTTCTACTTTACGCAAATGCAGACACGAAGAGAGACAGTCTGTAAAAACTTGGAGCTGAAACCGGACGAAACATCCTATTCTGACATTATGCACAGGCTGGTCAAGCGGTACTTGTTCAAACTAGAGAGAGCCAAAGACGAGAAAGAAATTGGTAAGTAGAAATTATGTGATGTCTTTATATCTGGGCTGTGACGTGCCCAACGCATCCTATATCAGCTAACTACTAATTATTCACTTTTACGATACCATTTTAGAAAGCAGTGGACCCCTTCGATTTTACCTACAAAATGAGACACCATAACCTACGCTATCTATTCTTCCTGTGTAAACTGGCATGTTTTCACATCCCCCCCCCCCCCGTAGTTCTGCTTACTTTGGTAAGATCTCGGGGGAGGGGGATACAGCTAGGGAGTCGGTGCTTTGTGTAGCAAGCCCGCAGGCCACCAGCAGCTCAGTAGAGAGAAACCAGAATATATAGTATATAACTCACAGCAATGAAGTAGATCCTCACCTTCAGACGGTGCTTGCCTTGAATCCTACCTTTTGATTTGCCGGGTGACGCTGGTAGTCATGTTTATTCACAACATTCTGTCTTGTGTGCTTTCAGTTTGTTTTCTGACACAGACAATTTTGCATGCCATGAAGTCAAACCATCCAGCATCTTCTCTTTCTGTCTCCTTCTGCCTCTTTTCCCTTCAAACTTTCTCACCGTCACGACGTACTCCAGTTTTCTCCTGTACATGATATGATCTAAGAATGCAGATTGTCTCCTCATTTTGTGGAAAATCCGTTTCCTTCGTGAGTCAGTTTCTTTCACGATATCTTTATCGCTCCTATTATCTACTTAGGGTATTCTCGTCATTCGTCTATAACACCACATCTCCGCCGCGTTCCCTAATCGCTTAGCACCCGATCAGCGTTACGTGAAAACACAGCAGGCAGGTAATGGATAAAACTGATGAGCACCTGAACATTTTTCAGTACTGGCCATCTTGTCCAGGAAGTACCTCTGTAAGAACAATGGCTGGGACAACCGGCCAAGTATGGGCACTGCTCTCACGGAAAGAAATTGCAATGTGCTGTGGGTATTTTGCAGAATAGTCACGTTTGTATATACATCGCTGAAACGTTACATTTCCTGTCTGAAAAAAAAAAACGATTGACTGCATTAGCGGTCCTAACTACTGAAGCTCAAGATCTCTTCCCACCATGTCCTATCTCTTCTTCTTCTTCAATTTCTCTTGTATCGCTTCGGGTGTCGAGGGAGATTAACGGTTATACTTCTTACTTTTCTGTCAGCCTTGACCATAAGTGCATCATAATGTTGTAAAGTTTCTCTGATGTTATCTTTCCATGTTATTGCTGGCCTACTTCGTCTTCTCCGTCATTCTCCTCTTTTGGAGAATGCCTTGCATGATATGAGAAGCCAAGCATTCTCTCCAAGTGGGCAAACCATTTGATTTGCTGTCTTTGTATGTAACTTAGAACTTGTTTCTTTTATGATCTCCTTTCTGATTTTCTCTCTTACCGTCACTTCCGCAACCCATCTCAGACATCTGATTTCCGTGGTTTTTGTGTGTGTGTATGAGACTGAAATGTTGAGAGTGACCATGTCTGGTAATAGCAGCAAAGTGTGGGAATGAATATGCTTTGAATGAAATGCTTCTTTGTGCTGTATGGGATTGTCTTCTGAAGTAAGTAGGGACTAGTTGTTCCATTTCTGGGTTATCCTGTCCTAGACTACCAAAAATGTGCCTAATACAGCCAGGAGAAAAAAAACGTTCAACTCGCAACAACAACAAAAATTAAGTTCCTGTTTTTAATTGCCTAGATGGAGTACCATTTTCCCTGTCTAATTTATTTCTTTATTTTTGCGTGTCTTTCTGTCAGCAAAAGAAGGTCACGGGAATCTGAGAGCAGACGATGTGGAGATATGGGACCCAACACAAAATGACGGCCCGCCACCGCCAATTCCAGAGGTTCCCAGCAGAATTCCATTTGCCACACCTCCTATTCCAGAGGAGGATGATGATGGAAAATCTAGTGAGTGGCTCATATCTTACCTATCTTTCACCCACTCCCCCTCTGTGTTTGTGTGGCATCTGTTTCTCTCTGTGTTTATTTCTCCTATCTCTCTGTCTCTCTGTATGTGTGTATTTGGGTATGTGTGTGCTTCTCACTGAATTTATTTCCTTCTTTCTCTGTTTATGTGTATATATATGTGTCTGTTTCTATCTATGTTTATTTCCCTTGCTCTCTCTGTATCTTTGTGAGTATGTGTATGTGTCTGTTTCTCTCTGTGTTAATTTCTTCTGTCTGTCTGGTCTGTCTGTCTATCTGTCTGTCTGTCTGTCTGTCTGTCTGTCTGTCTGTCTGTCTCTCTCTCTCTCTCTTTATGTGTATATATGTGTCTGTTTCTGTCTGTGTTTATTTCTTCTCTCTCTCTCTTTATGTGTATATATGTGTCTGTTTCTGTTTGTGTTTATTTCTTCTCTCTCTCTCTTTATGTGTATATATGTGTCTGTTTCTGTCTGTGTTTATTTCTTCTCTCTCTCTCTCTCTCTCTCTCTCTCTCTCTCTCTTTATGTGTATATATGTGTCTGTTTCTGTTTGTGTTTATTTCTTTTCTCTCTCTCTCTCTCTTTATGTGTATATATGTGTCTGTTTCTGTCTGTGTTTATTTCTTTTCTCTCTCTCTCTCTTTATGTGTATATATGTGTCTGTTTCTGTCTGTGTTTATTTCTTCTCTCTCTCTCTCTCTTTATGTGTATATATGTGTCTGTTTCTGTTTGTGTTTATTTCTTCTCTCTCTCTCTTTATGTGTATATATGTGTGTGTTTCTGTCTGTGTTTATTTCTTCTCTCTCTCTCTCTCTCTCTCTCTCTCTCTCTCTCTCTCTATCTTGTTTTTTATTTATGTGTCTTTTTTCTTTTTGTTTTTTATTTTCTTTTTTCTCTCTCTCTCTGTATGTGTATATATTTTTCTGTTTCTTTTTTCTGTTTATTTTTTCTTTTCTCTCTTTCTTTTTTTTTCTTTTTTTGTATTTATTTTTTGTTTCTCCTCTGTATTTATTCCCTCTCTCTCTCTCTCTCTCTCTCTCTCTCTCTCTCTCTCTCTTTCTGTTGTATGTGTGAGCTGTTTCTCTCTGTGTATATTTCACTATGTATGTGTGTGTGTGTTTCTCTGTGTTTTTCCCCTCTATCTGTGTGTTTGCTTGTCTGTTTTTTTTTTCTTTGTGTTTACCTCTCTATCTTTCTCTCTGTCTTTCTGTATATATGTGTGTTTTTGTCTGTTTCTCTGTGCGTTTATCTCTCTCTGTGTGTCTCTCTCTCTCTGTCTCTGTGTATGTGGGTGTTTGTTTATGTTTACAGACCCCCCCCCCCCCTTTCCAGACTTTATGAATTTGTGTGTGTCTGTTTCTCTCTATGTTTATCACACACTCTCTCTCTCTCTCTCTCTCTCTCTCTCTCTCTCTCTCTCTCTCTCACTGTGTCTTTCTTTCTGTGTATGTTTGTGTCTGTTTCACTAAGTGTTCATTCCCCCCTCTCTCTATCTCTCTCTGTCTTTCTGTGTACGCATGTGTCTGTTTCTCTCTGTGTTTATTCCCCTCTCTTTCTCTCTCTTTTTGTGTGTACGTTTGTCTATTGCTCACTGTGTTGACCCCCCCCCCCCCTTTCCCCCTTTTTCCCTGCCTTTCTGTGTATGTGTGTTTGTCTGTTTCTCTCTGGTTTTTTTTTTCTTATCTTTCTCGATCTCTTTATGTTTATGAGTGTGTGTGTATCTCTATCTCTCTCTCTCTCTCTCTCTCTCTCTCTCTCTCTCTCTCTCTCTCTCTCTTTCTGTCTTTCTTTGTAATTGTGTGTCTGTTTCTCTATTTGTTAATTCATCCTCTCTCACTCTGTTTATGTATGTCTGTTTCTGCCTGTGTTTATTTCCCTCTTTCTCTCTTTCTCCCTCTGTGTTTTGTGTGCATGTGTGTATCTATTTCTCTCTGTGTTTTTTTACCCCCTTACTCTTTCTATTTCTATTTATGTGTAAGAATAAGTTTTTTTCTTTGTTTAATTCCTTCTCCTTCCCTTCTTTCTCTGTGTGTGTCTTCCTCTCTCTCTCTCTCTCTCTCTCTCTCTCTCTCTCTCTCTCTCTCTCTCTCTCTGACGTTAACCCATCACCCACTGAGAGCCTACTCGTCTAAAAAATGCGAGTCTAGCATCATGTGCAAGCCTGGCCAGTGCCGTTTTAAAGATCCTCCAGTTTACTTACTTATCTGTCTATCCCTTATGAATGATTGGAGTGTTGTATCTCCCCTCAGACGTGAACGTGTATGTATGTGTAATTAATGCTGTAAGTGTATGCAGGTGTACGTATTTATGAATGTGAGTGATTGTGTGCATATGTGTATGTTGATGAACATGTGTGTGTGAGAATGTGAGCGGGAATGAATTAATGTGTGTCGGTATATAAATGTGTGAGCAATGTGACGTATATATGTGAGTGAGTGGGCGTGTGTTTGAATTTGTCTGACTGAGCGTGTATTTGTGGGTGCCTAACTGTTAGTGTGGCTGTGAGTGAGTGGGCGTGTGTTTGAATGTGTCTGACTGAGCGTGTAATTGTGTGTGCCTAACTGTTAGTGTGGCTGTGAGTGAGTGGGCGTGTGTTTGAATTTGTCTGACTGAGCGTGTATTTGTGTGTGCCTAACTGTTAGTGTGGCTGTGAGTGAGTGGGCGTGTGTTCGAATGTGTCTGACTGAGCGTGTAATTGTGTGTGCCTAACTGTTAGTGTGGTTGTGAGTGAGTGGGCGTGTGTTTGAATTTGTCTGACTGAGCGTGTAATTGTGTGTGCCTAACTGTTAGTGTGGCTGTGAGTGAGTGGGCGTGTGTTTGAATTTGTCTGACTGAGCGTGTAATTGTGTGTGCCTAACTGTTAGTGTGGCTGTGAGTGAGTGGGCGTGTGTTTGAATTTGTCTGACTGAGCGTGTAATTGTGTGTGCCTAACTGTTAGTGTGGCTGTGAGTGAGTGGGCGTGTGTTTGAATTTGTCTGACTGAGCGTGTAATTGTGTGTGCCTAACTGTTAGTGTGGTTGTGAGTGAGTGGGCGTGTGTTTGAATTTGTCTGACTGAGCGTGTAATTGTGTGTGCCTAACTGTTAGTGTGGTTGTGAGTGAGAGCTGTGCGCGCGCGCGTAGGTGCGACACTTGTGTGACCGTGTGTGCTTGCTTGACTCTATGTGTGTAACTTTCTGTGTGTGTGTGTGTGTGTGTGTGTGTGTGAGAGAGAGAGAGAGAGAGAAACCGTGTTGGCATATATGTTATCGTATATGTGTGTGAGCAGAGGCTGCTTTTGTAATTGCTGTAGGCAGAGGCATTCACTAGAAGCAACTTTTTCGGGCATAGGTTTTTTTTCAGCGTTACTGTAATAGCTGTTTTGTGGGTAGTACCAGAATCTGTCGTTCCAGGCACACACTTAAAGCCCAGTGTGTGAGTATGTGTCTTTATGTGTGACCATGTATGTGTGTGTTCATGAGATCTGTGTATGTTTGTGTATGTGTACTTTGATTACCTGTACTTGTTCATTCTTGCAGATATATGTGACCATGTGTGTGTGTGTACTTTGATTACCTGTACTTGTTCATTCTTGCAGATATATGTGACCATGTGTGTGTGTGTACTTTGATTGCCTGTACTTGTTCATTCTTGCAGATATATGTGACCATGTGTGTGTGTGTACTTTGATTACCTGTACTTGTTCATTCTTGCAGATATATGTGACCATGTGTGTGTGTGTACTTTGATTACCTGTACTTGTTCATTCTTGCAGATATATGTGACCATGTGTGTGTGTGTACTTTGATTGCCTGTACTTGTTCATTCTTGCAGATATGCGACTTCCCAGAAGAAAAGGAGGCACAAGATCCCACAACCGGAGACTGTCGTCAGCAAACCTACCTATAGCCACAACCTTGGCAATACCTCAACTTGATGCAATACAAAGGTATTCACCATTTATCACCTGCGTCAATACTTGCATTTGGGATGCATTACTACTGGAGCCTTAAAAGTGGCAGAAACCAGAGTGGTCCCCTCCCAGATTGGGAGCTGCCGTGGTGTAGCCGCTAGACTCTTGCATGTGAATTGGAAAGTCGTGGGTTTAAGCCCTGTCGTAGCCAGGCTGTTTTCAAAAATGATCCTGGCTCATAGGTCGATCCACCCTTAAATGGGTAGCAGGTAATGTTATGGAAAGTAAAGACGGTCCGAGTGGTGCTGGCCACATCACCCACCAGTCTATAAACTGGAGGTGAATGAATCTAACATTACAATTTCCGTTAAACCCCGTTCAACCGTAAGGTTACCCAGGGGCTTCCGGTGGTTGCCCAGCAACCTGGAATCCGGAACAGGTTGGTGTAAAGCCTATCGTGATGATGCGCTATGCCCAGGGTTGGTTTATCGTGGTCACAACCTGTCTACATCTGTCCTCGGTCATCCTAGAAACAAGTACCCAGCCTGGAGCCTGGCTAACATAGATACCGCCGACTGCCTTTACTTACCCCTTGTGCCGTGTAGGCAGGGTAAGGGAGTCCTCCAGTCCACGGATTCTGAGCCGCATGGTTAGTGCTGTGGTTGCTGATTGTACAGGTAATGATTTTATCTGTGCCTCCTGAATAAAAATATTCCTCAGCTTTACCGAGGATCCGAACCCCGGTCTCAAGCTTGAGAGCCCACACTAACCGTTCGGCCAGCCACTCTTTATAATATTGATAAGCTCTATGTTTTTTTTTCAAAGTCGGAGTTAATTTTCCTGAGAGTCAAGGAAGCAACAGTCTGCACACAAATAATCTAGACCTGTAAAACGGATCTGCGCCCAACACTTAGTTTCTGGAACAACAGCAACTTCCAGAAGTGGACGAACACGCAGACATTCGGTAGGAGTTTACAGCCAGTTAATGCAAATTAGAAAAATATTTTGTTTCAACTGAGTAAACATACAAGGCTGAATGATACCTTTACCGTTTATTTGTAACTGGGACAGCTAGCTCTTAAAGCGTAAAACAGTCACAGCCAGCACAAAGAAACCTCTCATACAAAGTAGATGCATTATCATTCCATGCTACCAGTGCCAGACATGATCAGTGACAACAAACCATAACAGACAATAGTAAAAGTCAAAATGCGATGTCTGAAAAGCCGTCCATGAGTGACTAGAAGAAATACTATCAGAAATGAGGTCATCATTAAAGAACAAATCGGCAGGTTAAGGTAACGTTTTTCACCGCAGAAAGAGAGTGACTTCCTTTCCCATTCATGCCTCGCTGCGTCGCAGGAGCTCTTCTACGTTGCTGGGGTATCATGTATTCCTTATTGTCAACGCTTTAACCGCTCTCTTGTTTCTCGTCTTGTCACCGCTTACTTGCGTGTTTATTCTCGCGTTCTGTTACCTGCATGACGGTTCGTGAGTGTTGAAACTGAGATGTTTTTGTATTTCTATATCATAGAAATACAGGAATACAGTACTTCTTCTTCTTCTTTGTTGACCGACTGAAAGCTCCAGCGGAAAGTGCTCATTGTTGTCCGTTTCGACAATGGCTATGTACCAGCGCCTATTTTGCGTGTACATCCGTTTTACTAGCTTACTTGTGTGCGGCTTGTTGTTCTTTGCTGCTCGGGCAGATACAGTCGAACTTTTAAAAAACTTCAAATTAGTCGACTTTTACGACACCTTTTTTTTAGGGGGGGGGGGGGGGTAGGGCATTGAGTCTATTTTTGTTTTCCCCGCAATGGAGAACTGGAACCCACACGATGACTTTCAATTACAAAGCTGAGGCAATGGCGCCTGGACTGTCGGTATTCATCTTACTCAGTGAATGCAGCTCTGAGTCGGAAGTAGTAAAATGGCACAACTCACTCATCGGCCAAATGTAGAAGAAATTAGAGACTGGAGACTCAGAAACCTGCACAGCTGGAGAGGCAGGGCCGGATCAGACCCTTCGATGACTTGAGCTCTTAAAACATTTTAGAAGTCTTAGAGACCCCCAGTAACTAGCTACCAATGTAAGAAAAAAAATTGTTATTATTTATCTGTACATTTCATATTATTTCAAGTATAATATTATATTTACTTGCAGCACAATGATGATAATATATACATAATAATGAGAAGAATTGCAAATAAATGTAATTACATACTTGAAATAATATGAAATTCATGAACACATACATAAAGATCATTTCCCTAAATGGTTGATGGGGCAGCATAGCCACCTTACAAAATGATTGGTTGGGGGAGGGGTACTCAAGAGTGCTACCCCATTAACACTCCCGCCATTATTTGGCTAGAAAGTTTGATGAAAGATGATGAGGAGGGCGTGGTTTGGGGGGTCTATGAAAGATGATGAGGTGGGGGTAGTTTGGGGGGTCTATGAAAGATGATGAGGTGGGGGTAGTTTGGGGGGTCTATGAAAGATGATGAGGTGGGGGTAGTTTGGGGGGTCTATGAAAGATGATGAGGAGGGCGTGGTTTGGGGGGTCTATGAAAGATGATGAGGAGGGCGTGGTTTGGGGGTCTATGAAAGATGATGAGGAGGGCGTAGTTTGGGGGGTCTATGAAAGATGATGAGGAGGGCGTAGTTTGGAGGGTCTATGAAAGATGATGAGGAGGGTGTAGTTTGGGGGTCTACCACTTTTTTCTAATTGGGGGTTGGGGCTGATGGAAGATGGTTGAAGGTGATGAGGGAGCTGTGATGGAGGATGGAGGCGGACGGTTCTGACGGTATTTGTTAATATACTTCAATCGAGGAAATAAACGCTTAGCTCCAAGGATATTGGAAATATTTGTGGTGCCCCCTTCTGTTGTGATGCTCTAAGCATGTGCTTAGTGTGCTTACCTCTTTGAGTCCCAGAGGGTATAGCATCATAGGCCCAAGGGGTAGTCTAGAGAGGCGTAAAATCGGCGCATCTTGCGTTCACTGGGCTTCTAGGTAGGAATCTCTCAACGTATGATGCGTTCCTTGGGTGAGTTAATGGTTAGTCCTGCCCTGTGGACAGGCATCAGCAGCTACATAAAATGTGCTAGAAACCAGCTTTCTATGTGCATGTGGGGACAGTTTTTGGTAATAACAATCCTAAGATACACAATTATAGGTAACCGAAATAGCCATGCTTCTCTAAATTCTGTGGCTCAGGACCTCTACACCTTTTCTTTTTCTTCCCTCCCCTTTTCCTCATTTTAACCCATACTTTAATTTTTTTTTTTTAAAGGGTAATGCAAAATTCAAAAATACAACAGGAAGTACATACACTAGTTGTAGCTTTTATTGAAATATAAATTACTCTTGTCCCCAGGTCACAAAAGTTGCTGGATATGCGTCTTCAGCAACTGCAAGCCAACCACAAGGAGACCAATCGACTTCAGGACGACGTGGAGTTCATACGGCGATTAATGGCTGAAAACCAGAAAGCGTTGTGCAACGTTGTCCAGGCTTTAGCCAACATTCAGGGTGAAATCGTCAATTTAGTCCAGTGTCTCAAGCCACAACCCAAGCCCAAACCGGCAAATTCCATCAGCTCCCAGGGCAGCGTTCCTAATGCCCACAATCAGTCCAACGCTATTATCTTAGCACCGTCTATTAACATGATCCCCGGTAGTGGCTTAGTGACGATAGAGAGAGAAATTGAAATACTCAACGCGGGGAGGAAAATGGACAGGGAAACGTTTGACTCTGGTGACAGGTTCATTAAAAAGGAAATGCGCAGGAAGCAAGGGTTAGAGGAAGATGAGAGCAATTTGTGATACTGAAATTATTTAAAACAATGTTTACTGTTGGGAATTGAAATAACAAACAAGCAAATAATACATTGCACAATTTATTCCTCGGTATATTAACAATGGACAATCCCTCTTTAGGTAAACAAAAGGATCATGGTTAAATCTAGACTTTCCTTTTGATATTAGACTTCCTTTGGTGAGATGTACAGTGTTAAAAGGGACAACATTTCAGTTCCAATGATGCATGTTTTGCTCTTCTTTATATATGTATGCAATCTTTGTAGTAATGAGTCTAACCAGATACCGTGAAAAATGTGTGTGGTATTAAATTGTGGAATGCATTGTTTGCGCCCTCAATGTTTAAACATTTAAACAATGTCAAGTGTCGTCTGTGTGCTAGTTCGATTGTTTTCTGAAACGGAGTTAACTGTAGATCAGCAATTGTTTCTTATTTATTACATTTGACTAATACCTCCAGTTCAAGCAAAGACAACTTAGTTGTATTTCTGCAGGAGTAGATTTGAGTTGTGTGTCCATTTCTGTGGAAAGTAGTCATGAATATACATTGTCGATGAGTTAAGATGGGAGTTAGTGTGGCTCATTCTATAGCAAGTAGTGGGACGAGGAAATGCCACCTGAAACGGCAGGGTTCAGGCAGGATAGACCATGCCCTTGGCCTTGGTTGGCATCTGGTCATGGACAAAAGCTCTAACACGCGAAAAGAGCACTGCACTTCTGATCCAGCAGCTTCTGTGGCATGCTTTGTTCCAAAGGAATTGGTGTTACCTTTCTTTTGGAGTTAACAAAGCAAGCCAAGTAAAGAATCGCGTTGCATGGACAACACATGGTCAATCCAGTCCTACCCAGGTGTTGTGCTGCCGAGAGGATAAATTTCATCCATGGTTTTGATTGGTATTGACATGGGTTGTGATTCTCATGCTTTAATATAGTACAATGGAAAACTATTGTCTGTATAGAGGGAAAGGTGCCAACATTGGAATAATTCATTATGTGGGAATACAGTATATACTGCCTGGTCTGGTTTTAATTGGTATCGACATAAGTTGTGATTTCCATGCCTCAGTATAGTACATTGGAAAACTATCGTCTGTAAAGAGAGAAAGGTGCCAACATAGGAATAATTCATTATATGTGGATACAATATCTACTGCCCGGCCTATTGATACGTTAAATACATCACAGACAACAAGGCTGGGGAACGACCTGCCAGCTATCGGGTAAAAGGCACAGGACATTATTTAGTTTTACCTTGTCAAGGCAACCGCAGGTAATTGTTTGAGACACTACCCTCATCCTCATACAACTGATCTTTTTACCACTGTCAATTTCTTGTTGTGCTTTTAGGATCTCTATGTGGCGGCAGGGAGGGGTGGAGTTATGGGCCGTCTAACAAGTGTCGTAAGAATCGGAGTCCATCTGCCTCGAGTGAGGTACTAACAGTCTGAGCACAACTAGGCCAGATCTGTTCCAGCTCAAGTTCTGGGAAAAGTCCAGAATTTGATGAACATTCCCACAGAGATTAAAACCGGCAACCGCAAGAAATCAATTGTTGTACTAATTAACCTAAAAGGACGAATTATTTAGTACAGAATGTAATTTTGGGTGGAATTTTGAGATCCAGTGACGAATTTCTTGTGAGAGGAGTCAATGTTTGGCCCTCATTGTTCAAATTATGACAAATTGCTTGCTGCAGAATGGGATGTAGTTTATGTCTCGCTGGAGTTAATGTTTATAAAATGCAAGGTTTTTATTGACTTTACCCACAGTTGTTGTTTCTTTGACATTATTGCTGTTACAGCTTCTTCTTCTTTCTTCTTCTTCTTCTTTTTCTTCTTCTTCTTCTTCTTTTTCTTCTTCTTCTTCTTCTTCTTCGTATTCTTATTTTACTTCTTTTGTATCTAATCTTCGTCTTTTATCTGATTCTTCTTATTCTTACGTATTTTCTTACTTTATATTGTCTTTTTCGTCTTCTTTATATCATATATTCTTGCTTCTTATGTCTTATTATTATTTTATTAGTGTCTTCTTCACTGTCTAGTCTTCTTCTTCTCTTCTTGATTATGTATTATTATTCAATGCAGTCTTATTCTTCGTCTTAGTAGTGGTCGATGCTTCTTCGTCAGTTTCGTATTCTTTTTCTTCATCTTCTTGTTCTGCTTCTTATTCTTTCTTTGCTTCTTATTGTTATTCTTACTTTTGATTCATCTTTAGTGATGAGTGACATATTAATATTGAACGAGGCTTATATGTTTATGATGATGATTCTTCGTCTTCGTATTCTGAGTCTATTATTACTTAGTATGTCTTATTGATTAGTGATTGCGTATCTGACTTCTTTTCTTCTTACTTCTTTCCTTCTTCCTATTCTTCTTCTCTTCTTCTTCTTCTTCTTCTTCGTTCTTCTTCTTCTTCTTCTCTTCTTCTTCTTCTTCTTCTTCTTCTTCTTTCTTCTTCTTCTTCTTCTTCTTCTTCTTCTTCTTCTTCTTCTTCTTCTTCTTCTTTTCTTCTTCTTCTTCTTCTTCTCTTCTTTTCTTCTTCTTCTTCTTCTTCTTCTTTCTCCTTCTTCTTCTTCTCTTCTTTCTTCTTTCTCTTCTTCTTCTTCTTTTCTTCCCTCTTCTTCTTCTTCTTCTTCTTCTTCTTCTTCTTCTTCTTCTTTTCTTCTTCTTCTTCTTCTTCTTCTTCTTTCTTCTTCTTTCTTCTTCTTTCTTCTTCTTTCGCTTCTTCTTCTTCTTCTCTTCCTTCTTCTTCTTTTCTTCTTCTTCTTCTTCTTCTTCGTCTTCTTCTCTTTCTTCTTCTTCTCTCTTCTTCTTCTTCTCTTCTCTTCTTCTTCTCTTCTCTTCTTCTTCTTCTTCTTCTTCTTCTTTTCTTCTCTCTTATTTTCTTCTTCCTTCTCTCTGTTCTTCTTCTTTCTTCTTTCTCTTCTATTCTCTTTTTCTCTTCTTCTCTTCTTCTTCTTATTCTTCTTTTTCTTTCTCTTTTCTTCTCTTCTTCTTCTTTTCTTCTTCTTTCTTCTTTTTCTCTTCTTTCTTCTTCTTTCTTTCTTCTCTTCTTCTTCTTCTTCTTCTCTTCTTCTTCTTCTTCTTCTTTTTTCTTCTTCTTCTTCTTCTCTTCTCTTCTTCTTCTTCTTCTTTTCTTCTTCTTCTCTTTCTTCTTTCTTTTCTCTCTTCCTTTCTTCTTCTTCTTCTTTCTTTCTTTCTTCTTTTCTTTTCTTCTTCTCTTTCTCTTTTTCTGTCTTCTCTCTTTTCTTCTTTTTCTTCTTCTTGCTTTTCTTCTTCTTCTTCTCTCTTCTTCTTTTTCTTCTTCTTATCTTCTTTCTTTTTCTTCTTCCTTCTTCTTTCTTCTTCTTCTTCTTTTTCTTCTTCTCTTCTTTCTTCTTCTTCTTCTTCTTCTCTTCTTCTCTTTCTTCTTCTTTCTCTCTCTTCTTCTTCTTCTTCTTCTTCTTCTCTCTTGTTCTTTCTTCTTCTTCTCTTTCTTCTTCTTCTTCTTCTCTTTCTCTCTTCTCTTCTCTCTTCTTCTTCTTCTTCTTTCTTCTTTCTTCTTCTTTCTTCTTCTTTCTTCTTCTTTCTTCTTTCTTCTTCTTCTTCTTCTTCTTCTTCTGTCTCTTTCTTCTTCTCTTCTTTCTTCTTTCTTCATCTCTTTTCTCTCTCTTCTTCTTTCTTCTTCTTCTTCTTCTCTTCTTCTTCTTCTTCTTCTCTACTTCTTTTTCTTTTCTTCTTTCTTCTTCTTCTTCTTTTCTCCTTCTTCTTTCCTTCTTCTTCTTCTTCTTTTCTTCTCTTCTTCTTCTTCTTCTTCTTCTTTCTCCTTCTTCTTCTTCTTTCTTTCTCTTCTTTCTTTCTTTTCTTTTCTTCTTTCTTTCTTCTTTCTTCTTCTTTTCTCTTCTTCTTCTTCTTCTTCTTCTTTCTTCTTCTTCTCTTCTTCTTTCTTTTTTCTTCTTCTTCTTTTCTTCTTCTTCTTCTTTCTTCTTCTTCTTCTCTTTCTTCTTCTTCTTCTTCTTCTTCTTCTCTCTTTCTTTCTTTCTTCTTTCTTCTTCTTCTTCTTTTCTTCTTTCTTCTCTCTTCTTCTTCTTCTTCTTCTCTTCTTCTTTTCCTTCTTCTTCTTCCTTCTTCTTCTTCTTCTTCTTCTTCTTCTTCTTCTTTCTTTCTTCTTCTTCTTCTTCTTCTTCTTCTTTCTTTTCTTCTCTTCTTCTTCTCTTTCTTCTTCTTCCTTCTTTCTTCTTCTTCTTCTTCTTCTTCTTCTTCTTCTTTCTTCTTCTTCTTCTTCTTTCTTCTCTCTTTCTTCTTCTTCTTCTTCTTCTTCTTCTTTCTTCTCTTCTTCTTCTTCTTCTTCTTCTTCTTTCTTCTTCTTTCTTCTTCTTCTTCTATTCTTCTCTTTCTTCTTCTTCTTCTCCTTCTTCTTCTTCTTCCTTCTTCTTCTTCTTTCTTCTTCTTCTTCTTCTTCTCTTCTTCTTCTTCTTCTTCTTCTTCTTTTCTTCTCTCTTCTTCTCTTCTTCTTCTTTCTTTCTTCTCTCTCTTCTTCTTCTCTTCTTCTTCTTCTTCTTTCTCTTCTTCTTCTTCTTCTTTCTTCTTCTTCTTTCTTCTTCTTCTCCTTCTTTATCTTCTTCTTCTCTCTCTTCTTCTTCTTCTTCTTCTTTCTTCTTTCTTTCTTCTTCTCTTTCTTCTTCTTCTTCTTCTTCTTCTTTCTTCTTCTCTTTCTTCTTCTTCTTTTCTCTCTTCTTCTTCTTCTTCTTCTTCTCTTCTCTCTTCTCTTTCTTCTTCTTCTTTTCGTCTTCTTCTTCTTCTTCTTCTTCTTTTTCTTCTTCTTCTTCTCTTCTTCTTCTTCTCCTCCTTTCTTTCTTTTCTTCTTCCTTCTTCTTTCCTTTCTTCTTCTTCTTCTTCTTCTTTTTCTTCTTCTTCTTCTTTCTTCTTCTTCTTCTTCTTCTTCTTTCTTCTTCTTCTTCTCTTCTTCTCCTTTCTCTCTCTTCTTCTTCTTCTCTTCTTCTTCTTCTTCTTCTTCTTCTTTTCTTC